GGCGTACTGGGAAAGACAAGCGAGTCGCGAGGTTTGTAGCACGATTTGGCAAACTTGAGCACGGCACGCGTCCCTATCATCACGTTCCTTGGTCACTGAGGGTCGGCTTTGACATCTCGGCAGCTCGCGTAAGGAGCGATGGGATTAAAAACTTTTCCGAAGGCCCAACTATACATCAAATCGCTACGAACTTTTACGATTCTGCGTTACGCCCCCTAGACCAAGTTGTTGTTATACAAGAAAAGACGTGCAAGTCCCTAGTCATGTATGGAAACTGAGGCGAAAGCTTTGAGCCTCTTCCGTTCTCGCGATCGAGGGCGCCATGATGGTGCATACACAGTCTCTTCACCACCGTCGAGCTTTCGCTTGGTGCGCGACCCACGCAAGTTCTCAAGAGCCTCTCGATCGTCCTTGACCAAACGCTCGAACATCTTCCTGCTCTTCTCATCCCCCAGATTCAGGGAACCTCCAATCGCTGAGCATGCGTTCGCAAGGGCTGCGAGGTCGTTCATGGACACGTAGCGGGCGAGGAGTGTCTGGACTGTGGAGAGCCGCATCGCGGAGACAAATCCGATCTTGCTGTTAGCCAGACCCCGGACTATTGTTGTGTCGAAGCTCGGAGAAGGCTTCACACTGTCCTTCTTCTCGTCTTGCAGGCGTTTGATGCATTCGTCGATGAAAGGGGCATGTTGGAGCTCTTTTGTCGCGGCCGGGTATGTCGCGTGGAACACTGACGATGTTGACGCAGGTGGAGAAGGCGCAACAATGCCATGCGCGGCGAGGACGTCGTGGTGTATAGTCTGTGCCGGATACTTGGTGTTGGGGCCCGTTGCTTCTGAACATTATTAGAGTTGTAGGGCGGACGAGTATGGGGCCTTTGTATCATACCGGGTGGACCTGCTGTGTTGCGAGTTGGCACTTGATCTATGCTGATGATAGGCCTTGGATAGCTGTTGGAGGTAGACATGACGTTTTGCATTTTGGTTGCCGAGTTGGAAAAGGTGAGTCTGTCGCGAACGCTGTTGACGAGGTATAAATTGTCACAATTGACTTGCCTGTGCAGGCTCTTGGGTGGTAAAGAGAGAAGAGCACACACGAGACTAACGTTCGGCGGCTTTGTAAATCGAAGCATGACCCGGTGACGCTGTCTGTGCTTCAAAGCCGCCTCGAGATCAAACAATTGCCTAGCGCGCTCTCGGCGCGCCTGAAAAGGATACCCTGTTATATGTATGAAACGCAAGCGACCAATAGGCGATCACGGAGGTGCGGAGGATAGCTTCACGTATGCGAAGTTTTAGATGCTCAGACCCTGCTGGTCAAGTGAGTACACGGCCTGTGACTAGAGGGTATAAGATAACGAGCTCAGTAGAAATGAACTCCGAAAATACCAGGAGATATGGCTGGTCAGAAGTCTCATTCTATACACACTTATTCCTTTAAACGGAGAGAATGATGTATTGAGAGCATGGATATCCGAGTTCCATCAGGCACAGAATTTTAACCGCATCTGCGACGGATTCCACTGGGGCACAGCATGACTCAGCCAAGAAAAGACATCAGCTAAACGAACCTTCGTCTCGTGCTTGGATAGGTTCGAAAGGCTGGGCGTAGTGACGACGCATCAGCTCAGTGGACCTACCTACCGGTTTCGGAGGAGGTGCCAAGCATTGTTTGGCTACGATGTGCCTCAGTAAAGCGCCGTCTTCGCTTAAGCGTCCTCTTATTGAGCTGTATACCGCCTGCACGCATACATTTCACTACAAGGAGGGGTAGTTTGGGGGCACAGACCTCGACTGAGTGTCCAGCCATGTCTTTTACTTTGCAACTCACAACATCTGGACCAGACCCCGCTACGCCCCCTTTGGTTCGTTTCAAGATCTCTACAGCCGCAAACAGATCCCTGCATGAGAATTGCACCCATTTTACGAGTGTAGCGCAGTGTCATTGCGACTGACACCGCTCGAACGAACGGCGAACTGGCCAGAGACGGATCTTGATACAACAAGAATTGTATGCGCTACGATTTGCGAGAACAGAAACTCAAAGACTAACAGTTACGGCAGACATGACTGCTGTTCCATCGCTGGACAAAGTATAGTGTGATCCAATGGCTTTCCACCCAAACGCCTTGACTGGCTTCATCGCCGAGACTCCCACCTCGAGGGTGAAGCCGGTACTCACGAGAGCCATGATCGAAGCCGACGACTTTTGCATGAACCACCAGACCATCGCACCGCTCTTAGCAAGTATCTGGAAGTACAGCTCCAGTGATGTTTCTTCGACACCTACAGCTGTCGAATTGGCTGCCGGCCACCGTTACTGGCTGCCATGCGGATGCCTAGCGGAGGAATGGATAACCTTCTTCACCTTCGCCGAGGGATGGCTCGAATTAGCGCCACCTGGAGTAAGGTCGGCCTACGAGGAAGACCTGGTCGACAACTTTGGAGTTTGGCCGAGCTTCGCGACTACCATGCAGGATGAGACCGGTTTGTCCACCCCTTATGATTGGTTTCTGCCAGGAGAGTTATCTGAGCAACTTGCTCCCCGCGGCTCGCATTCTCATCACTTGACCCACTCACAGACCCCACGGGGTGTCGGAAAGACCCCATACCCCCTGGTCGCCAGAGATCCTTCAAACGCGACTACGCTCAAAGATGGATTTGGTCAGCCTAACTCGGCGCGCCGTGACATTGCAGAGACAACCGGGATGCAGAGAGGTCTGCTTCTGGGACAACCATCATGGACCAGTGTTCAAGCGCTACGCCAGTCGTCTGCGGCTCCGGTAGGCCTGTCTGTCCAGTCATTCCCATTCCCGGCCGTTGTCGCCCCCCAGCGCTTGTCGTCCGCTCATCCTACACAGCATGTACCTCAAGCACGCCCACTGTTAGCACCGGCCCAGTCCGCACAACAAACGTCTCAGGGAAACATGCAGCCAGCATCGGCTCAAGTTCCAGGCCCTCATCAAGGTCAGCACTCTGTCGCCCAAGTGCCCGTGTTTCCTTTGCGGTCTATACGCAGCGGTGCAGCTGCTTTCGAGCAAAATCCGGCGGCTCCGCCAGTTTTCCATCAGCTGCTTCAAGCAAAGGGTATTACCACTGCAGGCTTCCGACCAGGAAGTGAGCTTCCACCGGGTAACAATAACACCGCCTGGAGTGCTGAGCGCATCCGAGCATTTGTGGAGATCGAGGGTAAAAGCATCCAACGACTACCTTCTCTTGCATTCTCAGTACATGGCACTGAGATGACCAACTACCGGACACCTGCATCCGTTGACATGCGCTGCTGCCCTTTTGAGACGTCGATCGAGGAGATGTTTACGGCAAGTGCAACATCCGTGTGATTCAAGCACATTAACTATCACTAACAACGTGGCAGTACTTTCCAAACAGCTGCACGTCCACTCGCGAGACGTGTGTCCGGGCGAAGCGGCATTGGAGACCCATGGACATATCCCGCTACATTGTAAGTGTGGCTTCAAATCTTGGGTCTTGACAGAAGACTAAGCTAATGCCATATTTACCAGAACTACGCGCACGATCTTCAGACACCGGGAGTCTGTAGTCGCTCGAAGATCTCGTATCATTTCAAAGCCGCTGAAGAGTGGCAAGAGGAGCATTTAGACTTCGTTCCCACCGCCTCCCTTCGCAACGTCAGCAGAGACAGCCTCTTGAAAGGCGAGAACAGGATGCTGCACGACTTCTTCCTTTACAACATGGGTGATGGTGTGGCCCATCCACCTGCTGGACGTCAAGCGCAAATGTTGACGCGTGTCATCGAGCACGTTCGAAGGGTCACCGGGGATCGCCACGTTCGTCTCAGTCAAGCTGCTGCGTACGCGAGGCGGTACAACATCACAGTACCGGTTCATGAGCAGATGAACGTCACAAACCTAGCTGTGGAGGACCGGTTGCCGTCGCCCGCGAGGCTTTTGGCGATGAAGGCCGACTACTGGAACAAATTCGGCGACCACCCGTAGTTTGGAGTCGCTGATGAGACAGACGAGCGGGGAGTCGTTGGCGCAAGAGCCGCGCAAACAGGTTTCGATACCCAGGTACTAGTGGATGCGTCTTTTGTTGGGTGTGCCTTCGGGCGTTCAGTAAAAGGTTGTCGACGTTGGACGCGGGGCGGCCGATTCCAAGATTGATTGCGAAGTTTGCCGCCAAGCATGCCCCTGTCCATAACCAGTTTAGCGTGGGATGAGCCTCATGTGCTTCCAGCCGAACAGCTGCAACCACCTCATCTTCGCTCATCCATCACGCGACCACCATCACTCGCAACAATCTTCATCAGACCGTGGAGCTCATTGCTTGTCGCGATATATGCTGCGGTGCTCGAGCGATCAAAGCGTAGTAGGTAATTAGGAATAAGGTTTGCGAAGGCTCATGGTAGTATGAGCAAGAATCTGTGATTCCATGATTAATACCCATATGAAGTCTTACGCTCGTCTCAAGCTTGCGTCCATTCATCACGTACCGACTGCAACTTTGAAGTCATTTCTTTCTCCGCACATTCTTTGCTATCGCGTATATCCTCACTATGCCGGCAAGCACAAAGCCTTCGTGTAGGCTCCATGACACGGTCATGTGTCCATTCAAGTTTCTGTATTTTCGCCACCTGTCATTTGTGCTCGAGCATGCGACTCACAGTCACTTCCCGAAATGGATTAGAGCGTTCTGGCGTTGCGCGGACGACCTCTCCCCCCCACCAAGAGCAGATGGCCTATGGGCTCATGCGAACGCCGAACTCTCGAACAACTCAACCCGGTTGACAAAGCTCTCTACTCATTTCTCCTTTGCATAGCGCCTCCAGCCTCGGCTCAAACATTTCTCATCTTCTTACGAACTCTTGTGTAACATGGATACACCGGATAGTTTTACGAGGATTAACGGAGCACGAAGTAAGCTTCCAAATCGCGATTTCTGTTCCTACTGACACGCACTCTAGGCCCCCCAGGCAATGCCATGGTGTCTCACTCATATGGAAATCGACCTATAGCGTCCATGTCGGCCCCGCGCGGCGTCACGTCGCAGATGGCGAACGAGGTCGACCGTAGCGCCCAGCGAGAACAACCACCTTCTCTTGCAGACCTTCCTTGGAACAATCCCGCCGTGACGTACACACCCGCACACTACACGCGTCGAAATCTGCTGCAGGACCGGCTTTTGCAGAGCAACGAATATCATCGCCGGCGAGTCAGGGCAGTCATTGAGTTCTCCAGAGATTTATTGATGCGGCTTGGACAGAACCAGGACGATGACGACCTGATACTATACATGATATCCAAAGATCGCCTTCACGACGCATGGATTGATATCTTCCTTACAACGCCTGACTACTATCTGCAGATGGCACCAGCTGAGATTCAAGAAGTATACCATAAGCAGATTGCATCAATGTCAAATGGGGTAAAGATCAACGAGGAGTATACCCTGGGTCGACCGAGAAAGCGAAAAGCTTCTGAAACTGAGAACGGGGTCCAAGTACTTCGCACAGCTAATGCAGTTAACAATGCAGAAGGACAAGTGCATGAGTCTGGTAAGCGACCCCACCACGAGATCTCCGCACTGGCAGAAGAATCACAATCTCAGCATCGCTCGTCACTACCCTCCGAGAGTCTACTTTCAGCTTGTTCGTCGCAGGAGCTGGACCGCATCTTAGACATGTTCATGCCAGCTCTGAGCGCTCAAGTTGCTATCCCCACACATGATCCGATAGCGTCTGCGCCAGAGCCGGTGCTCAACGCGATGGCGGTCGCACCGGCAGTGGTAGTAGCACCTCCAAGTCAGCCCGTGATCCCGGTAGCTATGCCTCCAACAGGCGTAGCCCCCCAGCCTAGCTTAGCGGACCCCATTGCTGCTTACATGGCTGGTAACCCCTTCAGAAACACACAAGATATCGCCGGTCAGGGATGTGCAGGCATTGCAATGTCCCGTGGTCAGATCCGTGCCTTTGTCGAGATTCAAGGTAGACCATTGGCAAGCCTTCCACCTGCGGCCAACTCCCACCATCGTCATGAGCTGAGGGGTGTGGCTCCACCAAAAACGGTTGATCCTACTTTGATCAGCTGTGTCACGACTGCGCAGGAAATTCTCACTGTAAGTCTACTGCTCCGATCTGAAAAGCGCTCACTGATACTCGATCAGTTTCTTCCATTTCAGACCGTGAACTACGAGCTTTGGGATCGCATTCGGAAGTCCTGGGCCCCAAAGGCGATCGCTGATCTCATAGTGAGTTTTTGAATCTCTTTCCATAAGTCACATATACAAGCTTATGCTTACTTAACCAGGCCTATGTTCGTCAGCTACGCTCGGGTAAGAGCTTCCACCGGACGACCTTCCACCACTATCACGATAACCGACCGGAAGACATACCAGAGCATACTTTCACCACGAACGTACCTTCAAACATGTCACCGAGAGGTAAACTGGACAAAGATGCCCGCACCTGGCCTCTTCACGACTACTTCCTTTACCATCTGGGGGACGGAGTAGTGCATTACCCCGCTGGTCGCAACGCACAGCTCATGACGCACTGCGTTTGGCATGTGCGGAATGTATCCCATGACATGGATGTCAAGATGTCGGAGATCGTCCAGTATGCAGCGAAGCACGGCATATCCGTTCCCGCTGCGGATCTGATTCAGCCGGACACAAACGTGGTATTGGAAGACACGCCTTCGCCGGCCTTCCTTGCTATGATCCACAAACATTTTGTAAGCAAGTATGGCAAAAGTTCTGGCGGCATCTAGGAAGCCATACCAGATATTGGAGACGCGGTTTCGTGGCGACCCAGTTATACGAACAGGAGATGGCTTTTCTGTTCAACATTTGCTGTGGTGTCCCACATCAGTGTTCAGGAACGCTTCATTCGCATGACGGACCGGACGCGGATGCTTGGGTTTTCTTCCCCTTGACCTTTCCTTTGGATACAGAGCTATGGAAATGCTACACAGGAGCTGTTTTGGCAGACTGTGACGCGGAGAGTGATGATCAGACGGCGATATTTGACACATCAAGTAAAACTCATGGTGCATTTTACTTTGCTGCCTGCGTAATCCCGTATAGTAATACAATTACTCTCCTGACCCTAGCTAATGACAAACGCTGGATCCAAGCGCGTGTGCACGTGCTGTATCTATTCACGTGTCGGTGGGGTTATATACTAAAATTATATGACCGACAGACCCTCTTGACATTACCACAGCTCCAACATCGCCCAAACAAGAGCAAGCGACATTATGAATCAGAATAACGGTAAGCTGCCTCAGTCGAATCCCCGTTTAGCTTGCTTGGGGTTCAATGTACTAATTACGGCCGTCACAGACCTCGCGAATAGTGCGGCGTCTCCTTCAGGTGGCTCAGGCTACACGCTGAGTCACATCGTCAGTCACGGCGGTGATAACCCTGCTCAAGTCCAAGACTATCAAGCGTCAGATGAACTGACTCGCAACGGACTGCGCGCTGAGGCAGCGTTCAATACACCCATGGTCCAGCTGATCATCAAGGACTTCTGCGACTTGAGCGAGCGACTAGAGCAGATCGGGGCCATGGTTCCCACACAGAGTGGCCTACATTACTGGGTTAGCGACTCCGCCAACGGAAGGGGTATCATCGTTGCCGAGTGTGTCGAACTCTTGAGGTACGCGCCCGGATACACCGTGCGCGTTCCGCGTGACGTGCGATTAGCATTTGAAGCCCTCAACACCCTCGAACTCGTAAAACAAGCTATGTATCACAGCCTCTCGGGGTATCTACGATACCTCGAAACCCAACAGCCGGCGCAGGCTCTCCAAGCTTACCAACCACCACCACCACCTATTCTACTTAAACGCCAGGACCAGATCGTTGTACCGCAAGGACCTAGAACATCCGGCGTTCGGTCCAGTGGTTCCGCTGGTATTCATCGGTACGAGTGGCCAGAGTCTCGCAAACTTGCCTGGCTTTGCATCACCCCACGTATGGTTCTACCTGAGAAGGCTTTAGAATCTTCATACTGTTCCTTCAACAGCGTAGCGCTGTGGGACCATGTTGACGTCCGCCTGATTGGACCCAACATCGAGGTGACTCTTGTGGAGATTGCTGCGGTAGGCTACTCAATCCCTCCCCCATACGCGCAAAATGAACTGACGAAGGATGCAGTTCTTTCCTCGAGCAGCCTCATGTTGGAGGGCTATCTGGAAGCGCTTCGAAGCGAGCGGATGGAATCTTCATAAGCTGCGTGAGCTGATCGTCAGTACTTACTGCCTCTGTCTTCAAGAACCTTGCTAACGAATCTCAAAGTTCTACTCCCGCCAGCTTAGTGTAGGCGATTTACGGGCCCACTCCGCCGGCAGTATGAAGAAGCATCGACGAGATGCTCGTAGTCACCTTTGCGCCGCCGCCGGTCTTACGCTCTCTGCGATCAATACCGATCGTGTGAACTCGACTACCGAGTTCTGCGATCTTCGCGACTGCTTCCTTGTCAGCCTGGGCGACGGACTAGTATACTGGCCTGGAGGAGCTGATCAGGGGGTGCTGACCCTTGCTGTCTGGCACGCTCGTCGATACGGCCATAATAACGTACGACTATCTCAACTTGAGCGTTACGTCGAACAAGTACAAGAGGAAATGGTTGAACTATATGGTCCTCTTCCACAGCCTAGTCCCCTTAGTCTCTATCAGACTGATTGGGAGGCGCTGGAGCGAATCTTTCCGCAGCAGACTTACGATGCGACTCGGGTTCATGATCCAACGTACGATGTCGTCCGAAAGTGGTGGGCAGCGGGACGGTATTTTCACCAAGACTAAAGAAGTCATGACCGCAAAGACGCTTTGGGAAAATGTACATAGCCAGCCAACAGGTCTTTCTATGCCTGGCTGATTGATGATTATAGCTGGCGAAAGGTCATGTTAGATATCTAGAGCTGCGCCTACAGCTTACGCTGTGTTCTTGGCGCGATGTTACATGTCCTATGTCTTCCCACTAAAGGCCTATTTGATCAGTGTCTCTCTTACTGACAATATGCACATTGCTACCCATTCCAGTAAGCATTAACAATGTCAAAATGGAACTAAGACTAATCTCGCTGGATGCGGAGCTTCACTACGCAGCCTTTCCAGATTGGTTCTCCCACTAGTGTGTTTCTTCCAGCGCCCTTTCTGGCCTGTGTGATACCCGAGGCAAGAATCTGGCTCGAACTCTGCCTCCTCTCCAACTTTACAGACTTTTGCCAGAACCTATACGACGGAAGAGCGATGCGTAAGTTGACACCCCTTGTCTGAAGGGCATGTATTGCGTCAATATACGCAGCGCCTGCACAATGTTGGTAAAGCTCATCATAGCCCTAACTTGAGATCCACAGCGCCTCGCAGAGACACCTATGACGGGTCTCTAGACCTCTTCCAGCGCACAATGCTCGGTATACCTAGCACAACAATGTCGGAGGACTACTATGTGAACGCAGTTGCCCCTCCAGGGCAGTATATGCGCCACCTGAGCGAAAGCACCACATGCCTGGATGTACAAGGACTATTCACAGGCCTAGGGGAGTACGATACCTGCTTTGATGACACGAACTCTCTGGGAGTTGGGGAGGAGAACTTCGGCCTCGAGAGCTGGAACACGGCGTCCAGCAAGCCCGCGATCGTCAACCGTTCACAGTGCACTTCGAAGTGTAACCCTCAATTCCCGCGCGTGACGAACGACCAGGCGACGATCAGCTCCAACACCAACACCAACACCGGTAGGTTATATTCAGTCAAAAGATGTGATAATATATCGCTAATACACACGCTAGCCTTTCCAGCATACGACTTTGACTATGCGATAGCTTATCCGCATAGGATAAACGAATTCGCGAACGCTACACCGCCCTTCACATACCCGCAGTCGCTTACTGGAAACATCACAGACGCCGGCTTTGATGGTATCAATCAACAAATCCGGAGACGTCCGCAGCTGGGCTTCGACGAGAGGAGCTACGGACAGTTTGCATCCAGATCATCTTCTCGTCTCCAAAAGCCTCGGAATAACATTGCACCTACGGGGTTCACTGTTCCGCACAATTCAGCCGAACTCTTCCTCTCTCTAGATCCGCTCTACAGCGCACAGTCTCGACTTCTCCCCGGTTTGAAGGGCGCACCGGTGCCAGGGACGAATTTGCTCAGACTCAGCCACGCATGCTTTCTGGGGACCATACCCCTTCCAGATATGGCATTCCATGCGCCTGGTATGGCCATATCTGCAAAGACTGAGGAAGTGCTTCGACGAGCTGTACCAGAGTACAAGGCTGGAGCTCCTTCGTTGGCGGATAAATCTATGTTATCTGGTATGTTGGCCGCCCAGCCCTCTCTTACTATCCTTTGGCTTTTGGTCACTGCCAATAGTCCATATCAATGCATGTCCTCTTCCCATCTAATTCGAATCTATAGGAGATAATTCTCGGAGTGGAGATGATCTCTTTGACGAACTCTCCTCCCCTACCTAAATAGATCGAGCACTTCACTGCCTCGAGAGAAGAACAGTGTGAAGGAGGACTCTAGTCGGATAGTGGCGAACGAAACGTGGTTGTCGTTGCTGCGTCACACCAGCATTGGATTCACCGAGTCGGTGAGCGCCGCGCGCTGTTTATAGCTTGGTACATTAAGACCTGCTCTGTATAGCACATACCCAATTAGATCAATCAGACAAAGTGCATCTGACCCGAAGATTGATCCTTTGAAGTTTGGTAGCAAACCCGGTGTATTGGAAACCGAGCACGATCGAGTACATTAAGATCATATCAGAGCTGAGCGACCATAGAACCTCCCGTACTCGACGCCTTGTCATCTATGACGATAAAGCTGCGTGCTTAGAGTCTACCCGTCAAGGCCACTTCTACCGCTCGCATCATTGTCTTTTAGTTTCTCTTAGCATCGTGATAAGCCCTTTAAGATCTTCCGACCTATCGCAATCTTCTGTAAAAGACCGTATATTGGAAAGCAGATGGTGGCTGTGAAGGCATCGTAGAGGCTAGCGCAGCCCCTTGGCCGCAACAGCCGAACGCGGACGTTGTACCCTCGTCGGCCCTTTCTTTCGCCAATCTCAACATCAAATCGCTACTCCGCGCCTTGATTAACTCGACATACACACAGCAGCCATATGTGACCAACCTCGCTAGTATACCCCTCCAGTGCAATCCTTGACAAAGACATCTGGTAAGACTCGTATGGCGCGCTGAGCTCATCGTCCACTGACTTGCCCGCCTTGCTACAGATACTGTACTCCCAAAACTGATCGACTATCTTCGAGATCCTTGCCGCAACCATCAGCGCACCGCAAATTACTCCGCTAGGCTCATTGCCATCGCAGCCGAGGAAGTCACCAATGCCGCCACAGCAGTACCCCAGTAATTGGGCGCGACACGAAAGCCAACCATCCGCGGAGCGACCCTCTGAGAGCCACGAGCCCTCTCGCACACCGCAGTATCATCCTATCGACGCGATGTGGCCCACCGGTGCAGACGAATACGTCTTTGGCGCTACCATCGGCGTAGACGAAGCGCACCAGTCCGCGCATGATCATCAACAGTTCCCTGGCGCTATATACCATGTACTGGAAGATGAAGAGCCAGCATCGTCGTTTCTGTCGCAGTCTATCCGTGATACAGGGACTACCACGCCGGCTAGTGACGTTTCCGCGTACGCTTTCGCCCCTCATGAGCCTCCAGGTTTCTGTACGCCTAGAGACAACATGCATCCCACGGGGCAACATTCGCCATATCTTGCTCCACCTACGATCAGACCTGCCATACCTCAGGTCCGTACCGCGTCCAAGAAAGAACCCAAGAAGACTATGATAACAGCGCCTAGCAAGGCCAACGGAGTGGCCAAGCCTTACCGACATACAACCGGTACGAACGTCCAGGCCATCGCCAATTATGACTTTGGAACTGGCGATATCCATCGTTTAACGTCTGCTAGTCCATTGCATAGCGATGTATCACCGCAACCCACTAGATCACTGTCGAGCTCACTCGGACCGCCAAATAACTCGCTGGACCTCGCAGCAGCAAGCTTGGGCGACCAAAAAGATATCCGCCATGACTTACCAACACCACACGTTGAAGCCGACGGCGAGATCTCCACAGCGATACGTCTTCGAACGCCAAGCGAGACTCAAGGAGGCAAGAACCTTGCTCGAGCATTGGGCCTCCTTGGAGGTAGAACCAGCCCCATCGGCCCCGGTGTCTCAGGCTTCGACTTCACATTCGCTGACCTTGTCGACGCGAGGGATCGGTTTCCTGGCCAAGTCATCATACATCGAAACGCGCTTCTTGATTCTGAAGACTATAAGTCAGCATTCGAAGAAGACGCACGGCTGAGCCGAGACCGCTGCAATCAAGCTATTCTTGAATCCTCTCCGGATATTTTACCCCGAGGCGCCTACCTTCTCGATCTTGGCGGCGGCTTCCATGTCACAGTCCCGCTTGATCCAATAACCGAAGCTACGTTCAAGCAAGGCGGCCAAGGAACCATACCACCCGAGGGTCTCGTACGTATCGCCACGGAGATGAACATCGACATGAAAGACTACCGTGTCGATGGTAAACCGCACCCGGTATACAGTATGGGCGCCCCAAAGCAGGTTGATATCCGGTACTTGGGCTCCACACCTATAACCATAGTGGAGATGGCCATCGTGAGTGTATACTGGTCGCTCGAACAAAGACACTGTAGCTGATGTATCGTATAGTGGTTTCCTGCGCACGGCTTGCTCTGGCCAGAGTGGACACAGCGATTTGCTCGAAGTGGCTGGACGCAGAACAACATCGCTGACCTGATTGTGAGTTCATTCCCCCTTGCCGAACCGTGTCTTTCGTGGGCTAATGTGACCAAGAACCGAGCTTACAACACCGACGCCGTCGAAGGTGTCGGCCCATCGACAATCAGTCAGCAGACGAATAAACATGGTCGTGAAGCCCGTGAAATGTTGGAATCTTCTGGCCAGGGACAACAGCAGGTCACTGAAAGCGCGGCCCTTCCAGTAACGTCTTTCTCATGCGAGCGCTGGACACCGCCTGGCGACGAGTACCGACTAGTCGACTACTACGTCCGCGATCTTGCGAACGGTGTCCACCGTGATAACTTTCCTTCCGGTTCAGACAGGGGCCTTCTGACTCGATTGATCGAGTTTGTCGACGACAATCTAGACGAGTGGGCTGATCTCTTGCTCAGTGATGTCCAGTTCATCGACGATTCGGGTGGTTACTTCCAGACAACAAACCCGGCTTTCGGACCTGGGATGGAGAACCCAGACGAGGAGGCGTTTCGCCGTCACAGGCTGGAATTGAAACGATATCGCAAGACGATGGCGGATTATCGCATCCAGCAAAAGAAGGACAAAGCAAGAGTCGCGATGGGGAGCCAAGATCAGGCTCAATGATCGGTAAGGCTGATTTTTAGACATACCAGCCATTTCAGCTACCGCGATATCCTCTCATGACACTTGACGCATGTGTGCTATGAATAGATCCGATATCTATCTCACGGAGGTCTCGAAGCCATCACCCAACTTTCGACACTGCGATAGTCCCATTGGGAAACCGCCATCTCGCCATCGCGGTCTCACGACACGACTCAACCATCTGAGGATCACGGTCTCGGGCATCCAGAAACGTTGGCGAGGCTCGCAGCGAAGTTTCTCGACGAGAAGTCGTTGATGCGTCGTCCTTGAGCAACGGAAGAAGTGCTGTCGGAAAACTTCGTTAGTGAAAACAAAACCATGGTTGAATACGAACTAGGCCGAAACCTGTAGCACTGCTTCACGCTTTTTGTGCGAAGCCACCCAGTCACAAGCTTAATCCCATTGAGAAGATTCTTCTGGTCTCAAGGATCGGCTGGGAAATGCTCCAACAAGGTTTCTCACTTCCTTGTCAGTCACGTCATATCCTGGCGATAATCTGGATGTGAGCCATACGAGGAGGAAATTGAGAGCTTAGTGTTAGTCAATCAGTTGACCAGTTCCTATCTCCAGATTACTTGTCAGTCCTCTTCAACTTGCAGAGTGCGTCACACAAGATCAGCCACGACAAGAGAAGGAACGAGTCAAAGGATTGATGGATTTATACATCTACACACGACTCAAGGGTCGACCAGAAAGACCGCAAGTACTGAATTCCAGATGTGGTGCGAAAGAGCGAGGCTTGTTTGTGTGTTGAGCAAGGTCTAGTCCGGGGAAAGAGCCAGTGCATTGTGTGAGCTTTTGGGAATCCACGAAAGCTTCATTACCCTGCATTCTCACAGTCACGATTCGTAAATTTTCCTGTCACTCAATCAGGACTTATCAGTGTCTTGCAAAGTTAGATGGGGTGATGCTATATTCTAGTGCCTCTGTTGCGCAGATCATTGAAGTACATGAGAAGAGACGACCAAACCAGTGGAAGTCATGCTATACGAGTATCTGGTCGGGTACCATCAGCGTTGCATCACAATAAGACACATGGGAAGACAAGAAAAGAATTGAATAATAGATCTCGCAGTCATCCAAATGATTTAGTAGATGATTTCGTGCGTGTCGCTGCAACATTGGTTTATGAGACGGGTAGTTTCCAACATAGTTGAGTGGTTCACACATGTGACATTCGCTCAAATGTCAAAGTTCATTACATTGAGTACAGCGCGAAAGGTTCGCGTGATGATATAGACGGGTGTTTAGACACGACACAGTAGCTTTGAGCAATGTAATGTTGATCTCAGACAATATCACGAACGATATCACATCCGCGAAGGTTCCCAACAAGACGCCTTTGTTACGTCAACGGAAACAATTCGCACATTACTCTTATTCATTGGCACATCTATGACTGTATCGCTGGACGACTTTCGCTTCCAAACTACGAAAGGCAGTCTAGACATCTGCATGCCTCTTTTCCATTCATCTACCAGTATACCATCCTCACACTTGATCATCACCACGACACGTGGCTCAAGCCTCAGTCCTCCCACCTATAGCCATGAGCCTCCACATCCTTCCTCACCATAGCCCGATATTCCTCATGCAACGCCACATGCCTCTTCAGAAACCCCGCATCGCTGTAGCCGGCCTGAAGATTTCGATCGATAAGCCAATACGCAATGAACGCATCTAGATCCGCCAGCATAAGGTTCGAGCGATTCATGAACTGCGCTTGGAAGAGGGCTTCGGTAAAGGGACCGCGGTCCAGACCTTGTGGAAAATTGCACGGATGAACACCCTCGGCGCAGTCGATCAGCGCGTATGGTATCTTGGCGATGTCGAAGCTTGTGTGTCGGTTGACACCGGGTGTGAATGTGTAGTGACTGGTCGTGTGGATGATGGGCTGCGGTGGCGGCGGTGCAGCTCCTTTGACGGGCTTTGTCACTCCCTTCTTCTTTCTCCAGTCCTTTGCCCAGGTACGTGCGTCCATACCGAAGAGACAGTCTAGACCTTGGAGAAAGTGCTGACGATTCTTTGCGATGAAATGTCAGCTCAGTACAATGCGCGCGTTCGCGTAGCCATGGCAAAAGACTCACGATGATCCAAGCCTGGACTTTTGGGGTGATTCCGCTCTGTGCGAAACGGGCTTGCACTTCGGGAATCTGCGCATGAAGTGGAAAGAACTTGAAACGAATTAGCAGTATCTCCAGAGACTGTCAGGAGTTTCAAACCGTAAGAATCTCCAACGCGGTCAGCGGGATAGTGAAGACGGATAGATCGAATTGTGAGGGGGTTGCAATACTGTGCAGTGGATGGAAAGGCCTCTGAAGTACATCGTTGGGCGGCATCTTTTTGTGTAGTCCGGTATGGATGAGTTGATGCGATACGGACGGCGAGTATAGATCCGTGAACCCAGGTCCAAAGTAGCGCATACTCTTGTCACCTTCAGGAAAGAAACCGTTTTCGTTGAATCGCACGCGACCTTTCTTGACCTTCCTGTCGTGCTCTGAATCGAAGTCGTCGTCATCATCGTCATCGTCGTCAAGGGTAGAAGTCGCTCCAGATCGCGAGCGCTTGTGCGTGTTTGCTCGTTGGGTAGCGCCGCTAGACGCGCGCGGACGCTTCTCTTTCTCACTGCGACTAACGTCGCTGGGGTTGCGAGGTGTTTTCCGGGGCGCTTTAGAGGCAGTACCGCGCTGGCGGCCGGTGGTGGGACTGCTCATGACCGTAACAGAGACGAGAGACGAAGGGGCCTGATACCAAGAATGGGCGTTCAGAAGAGACTCGTTTTGTTTGCCAATACTCCCTCACTCCAGGAGATAAGCGAGCACCCTAGAACCGACTTGGACGTCAGATTTTCGCATTTGCTTGTCTAATTCTAGTGAAATGTCCATCTCTTCGGGATATTCCACGTAAGAGGGTGTGCAGATCCTTAACGCGACAAATCTGGGGGCGGAGGGGAGAGCGCAGCGCTAGTAGACCGGACCGCGGAATTCTAGCAAATGAATTAATTGGCTGCCTGATAGCGGAGCAGCGTTGAATGAGGATAGGGTACGCTTTTTCCTCGAACTGGGGCCTGGCTTTGGTTCGGGCTGGTCATTGAGAATATACTTTTGGTGCGCGATATGAGTGCGACAGCTTTGAGGAGCAGGAGTGAACGAGCTGGACGGCCTGAGAGTTCGGTCCTCTGCAAAGATGATTACCTAGAATATACCTACCCCTGCATCTCGTCATGATCAGACAGGGTCCAGAAACGCTGCACAATCGCGTCGGGAAGCGCAGGCAGGTGCGTCTTCATTGGGCGTACTACCAGCTCTTCGCCCTTTCCCAGACATAGAAGCACAGCAGAACCGTTGCTCGTATTCTCCTTTACTGTCGTCTTCAACTCGCCCAACAACCACACAAGCTTACGAAGAGCTACTTGTCGCTTGCCGTCATCCTCGTAGCTCTTCCTCATCTCCTCTGGAGTGAGGAGTTTCTCGGTCGAAGAGAAGATACCATCCTTGTTCGTTCCAAGAGACCACCGCGAAGTTCTACCGACCCAAATTTGATCGAGAGGCTTGCTCTGATTGTTGCTCTTTAGTTCCATTGTCTTGCTGTGAGAGATCGACTTTCCTGCCAGAAGCACGGTGGTTGAGTCAGAGCTTTCGGGTCGGATGGTAGTGTTCGCAATCTCGGGCTCGGGATGCGATGTCGATTTCGCCAACATTTCCTTAATTTGATTCCGGGAGGGCTGCTCATCGGGCATGTATGCGTCTGTCTCTGCCCTTACCACGATGTTGAGGCTACCGAAATTGTACTGTATGGTATGGTGATGTCCTTCCGCATCTTGAAGATCTGGTTCTAGTTGCGTCGTCCAGGCAGCCTCAAAGTTACGCCCGTAAGATCCGTTGGTAGAGCCAGCCATACCAGATCGAAGCCTTCGCCCCACGATCAAAGTATTGCCAACGACGTGGAGGGTCAGTGCGAACGGCTGGCATGATACATCCTTGACGTATGTAATGAGCGCGGTCATTGATCCGCGAGCGATGAGGACATCAACGTCGTCGAAACGCTTGCTTGGCTTCATAACGGTAAGAGCCTGGAAGAGTGGTTCGAACTGGAATCGCGGTACCTTGGCTACATGTTGATCGATGTAATAACGCCCTGTGTCCGGCTCCAGTTTCAACGGGACGGGTGGCTTCGTGAACATTGGCGGAGTACCGGGAACGTAGATAGTAGGGGTATCGGTGTACGACTTGAAGCTGTAGCTGCAAAGAAGCTCATAGCCCTTATCCGACACGTGGTTTGGCGACTCGGGTATCGCCTTGGCCAGCATGTTGAAGATGATCTCGTTGCTCGTGTTGGCGTTCATCCAAGGATCATCCCGTCTGCGCTTCAGATACCTCTTCCACCAAGCCACGACGGACTTCCACGTACTGCCTTCTACGTAGACACGGTCAAGAGCGATGACGGTAACCGAGTAAACAGCTAGTGCGGCCAAACCCTGCCACTTGCTCCATGACTTGGAGATATCCATATCGGTAGACACCAGGTCTGACTCGTATAATGTAGCCGAGAGTGCGCTCAGCAACGTGGAGCGGGTGAGGAGTCAGGAGGCCTTGGGGTTGCAATCTCGCTTTGATGGTCGATTCAGGAGTTGGAGGAACGTCAGGTGGAGTGGTTGTAACTTCAGGCTGGTCGATCTGCCGAGCTAGGCGGTGGAAAGGTAGGACTTGTATATACCGGTGAGCAAGAAGGTGAATATAGAGTAAGAGAAAGGCGGGGCTACACTCTCAGGCTGCAGCCAATAGATGGCAACAGAGTTGAGAACTGGCACCGTGTGCCACAGGTATGCGCTGCATTGCACTTAACTCAACGGGCTCCAGTGAATTCGTGCCGGGAGACGATCAAGAGAGCGATGTGAATTGCAGTAGGTAAACTCGCTAGCCTCCAGTCCATAGCTGGATATCAACCGAATTTAGTGATTGCTATCAGCATCAAGCAAGTCTGCACGCTCACAAGCAGACTGCAGTGGCATCCCAGGAGCTTGACCGCTCCTGCGTATCCGCATGCCTAGATTGTAGGAGGCAGTAGGGCGTTTGTCAGGCTGCCACGACCAAAGCGGAACGCAGCGCGATAGGACCGGTTCAAGTAACCGAGTCATTCAAGCGTTCGTCTCGGTACAAAGCATGGCGACGATATTGATGAAGGCATCGAATCATCGAGCTCGTCTTGCTGGCAAATCGGAATGCCGAGGGAGGAAGGTGCTATTCGCCATCGTGTTCGGTGATATGTACACTCTCGGTGAGTTGCGCATTATCGCGTTAGTGCGCAAGTGTTGATTCAGCATGGCGAGCATATGCGTAGGGGAAACTTGTCGGGTGAGGTTTGACAACTCGGTCGCGAGGACGCGACGCGTGTGCCACCGTTCGCTGACGTAATGACGCGATCCCAAAAACGCGCTACGGCTGCGCTAACCCCTGAGAGCTAATCACGTGTACCTTTCATAGCCCATCATCGCCGCACAGTGAACGTCAAGCAACTACTCGACTTCATTGCGATACGCTAACATACAGCCTACTCCGACGACCACAGTAACTACCGCGGCGTGGATGTGGGCAAAGTTTCCACCCCTCCCCCATTCGGCACGACATCGTTGGGATGGCCTAAATTCATTTCCGTGCTCGAAACCCCGCTTCCTTTTATGCCCACAAGCTCCGGCAACGACGAGAGATCGAACGGTATCCGCTTCTTTGTACTAGTGCCAGTATGCTGTCGTTGCTTCCGCCGATGAAGCAACCAAACTGGCGCGCACATGGCCATTAATAGAAGAATGGCAAAGCCCACAGCGATACCGGCGATCGCGCCTTTCGGTAGTGGGGATTTGCTTGAGGAGTCGGGATCGGAAGTAGTCGATGGAAGAGCTTCGATCGAACAGGAAGATGAGCCGTCTGGTGCCGTTGAACACTCGGATGTAGGCAAGATCAACTGGATTTGCCTGGCGTCGACAAGGTTGCGCCATATTTCGTCAGATAGGGTCGTGGTAGTAGTGACGGGAGCTTTGCCTTCAACGCACACAACCTCCTCTAACGTGGTAACGTCCGTGCCGGGAAGGCTGAAGCAACCCTGTTCCACTGCCAGGTTTGTGTTCCCTGCGTTAGTACGGTAAAAGCTGTACCGATGAGTCAATCAACTGAAACTGTCATGCTGTGCATACACAAGAAGAACTTACGAAGGACAGCATGCGACTTGAGTGTAAGTAGAAGATGTGCTGAAAGTCCTCCGTGCTACATCAACCCATCCTTCTGGACATTGATTTGCCGGAGAATACAAGAGGTTTGAGTGAGAAGAAAGGTAGGGGCCGAGCCAGTGTGTTCCTGACGGAAAACATTCACTTGCCAGAGTGGGCTTGCCGTCAGATCCGCATGTCCGGTCTCTTTCCCACGATGCGCAGCTGCTGCTGCCTTCTGCGTCACACTCTCGAACGGGAAGGGAACAGTAAGCTGGTGCGGTGAAGGGCGTAATCAGCGACCCGTACGGGGTTGTGGAGTTTGGTGTTATTACGGGTGACGACGATGTGCGGGAAGTGGTGTCTATGTTGCTGGACAGGGAGGATGATGATGCTTGTTCGCTAGCAGAAGACGATGATGATGATGTAACGGGAGAGTCGGCCATGTTGCGGATAAGAGAGGACGATTTTGGCTACGAGAAGACGACGGTGAACAGATGGGGATCGAAGGCACCCGTGCATTCATATGCAACGCCTGGCACCGAGAGCATTATAATGCGGCGCATGACATCGTCGGCTAATGAGAGGACGGTCAACGGTGTGACGAGATTCGCAAATGTTGCTTGAGTTCCGCGCCGTATGCTGCGCCGCACATCTGCCCATGCGTTAAAGCGGGTGAGAGATTGATTCTTGGCAACCAACCTTGCCGGAAATCTTATGTTATGTATAGGACGATGATTGGCACAAGGGATGATCAAACAGAGCTGCGCATGCGCAGTGAGATCCCGCGCTCGGCATGACCGACCCGCGCACGTCAACGGACTTAGGAAGGCGGAACCGAACAAAAGCCTCAAAGTAAAGGATCATGGAAACGAGAGAGGCAAGGTTCAGTCGGTTTCGAACGACCAAGTGGTTACAACGTATCGCTCTCTGCTAAATAGTATGGGTATCAATATAGTAACAAACGAAGAAAAGATATACGCCATCAAAACCCATCAACGCCCTGGTGTGAGCGCTGTTTCCAATCTCGGCGACCTCACCTCCGGCTGTGGATGGAACAACCCATTCGAACTCGCCATCTGTGTAGGCGGAGAAATCGTGCCATGGTTTCCCACAAACTCAGGTAGCGCGTCGTGCTCTCCACTCGGGCTAGCCTTCGGTATCGGTGCGTGGTGGTGCTGATTTTGGCGGCGACGCCATAAGAAGAAGAGTCCACCAAGGAGTGCCAGTGCGGCGACCGCGCCCACGGCGATGCCGACGATGGGGCCAGTACCGAGACGACGTGATTTGGGTTCTGGGGAATCGGCAGGTGGTGGGTTATAATGAGGAGGACCGAAATCTAATGTTGGTTCGCTGAGAGGGGTGAATGTTGCCTCTGAGGCCAATGCAGTGGTAAGAATCACTTCCATTTTCGCGGCCCAAACGGCTGTGTTGCCGCTACCATCTTCGCTGGTAAACCATTCAGAAGCCAAGCTTCCATCCGTCTGGCAGGCCAAGACCGAAGTCGAATTGGCGGTCCAGGTGATCGAACTGGTACAACTCGCGAAATAATAGGTATGCGCCGAGTAACCGCTGATAAACAACGTCAGTGACTGCCAGACATTCTGGCCAGAACCTACTCACGATGGACAGCATACTGCGGTGGTCCGGCTTGACGAATCTATAATCTGACTTTGCGTTGCCCACCCACCAGGACATCCTGTAGCCGGGGAGTATGTTAAGAGCGAGTATGGAAATGGACTGCCTGGAAAGCATTCGCTAGCACGGGTGGGGCGTCCATTTGAACCGCAGGTCTGATCGCGCTCAATGAACCCACAACTTAGGGTAGGTGTGCCAGTTGAAGTTCCACTAGACGGTGTCTCAAGAAAACATGACGACTTGACAACGTTGTTGCAATAAGACGGCGGAGTGAAAGGGGTCATAATCGAATAGGAGGGTGTCGCTCGCGTGAAGGAGGAACTGAAGGAAGTCGTCATGGATGCGGTTGCGAAATCGGCCATGGCTGAGGTCGGAGAGGCGATGAAATCGCGTACCACTGCAAACAGGTCGAGACCAGCAGCGAGCATTTGTAGTACTCACAAGGGATGGGAAGGATGAGGTCAAAGCGCAGCCCTGCTCCGCCGCCCCCATGCTCCCGTTGTGTGAGACCATGCAAGCCTCGCGAGTTGCTTTCCTCTCTCCAATGAGGGTGTGGGTCTATCAACAGGCGCGTGCAGACAGCATGCATTCCGCGGTGCGCCTTAAGCCACTTTAGGCTCATTGGGTCTTGCTAGGATCTTGAGCGAGATTTCAATAAGGACATGGCGTTGAGTCGCTCGCCTGGTTTGTTTTCGGCGTGTTGAGGACAAAGCATCCAGGCAACCTCCGACGGCATCGTGGTTGACGTCTGTAGTATGAACGATGAATTAAGAGTATGACTGTGAAAATGCTACGCGACGTATGCAAGGCTGACCACCCTTACCTTTTGACAGCGCGATTCGCGTTTAGACTTGCCTTGTGGGATGCGGTGTGCGGGCAGTGATGGCGTTTGGGGGCCAAATTTCCTTTGACAGCATAACAACTAGGTGGCACAGTTACCAAAACATTGGGTCTCGATGCTGGCTGTGGAGGCTGTGTTGCTCATGCGCTCCATCCCAAGCAATAGCATACCGCCTATCAAGAGATTGCGATAGGAACATTGTGTATGTTATAGGCAACGCGATTTGGAAGACCGGCGTGTTTTCTGCGCGTCGTCGTTTTGCCAAGGAATCGTGGCGGTACATTCGGGGCAATTGGGCAATAACGCGAAGCAGAGGTCGCAAAATCGCGTGCGCATGTGTGCGAAAGTTCGCCATGATTGGAATGAGATGGAGGAGAGATGGAGTGTCGTTCAGCAGCGGTTGAGTTGAGATGAGGTTGGAGTTGTGTAGTGCAAGGCTAGAGGCTCAGGCAGCGTGGCGGCGAATTGCGGGGAAGGCGCGACCAGTACTGCAGCCCCCGACGTCTGTGGATAAGCAAACCTTGATATATCTGATCTTTGAACTCTGGCTTACGAGAACATGGGCTGATTAGTATACTCAACATTGTTGTTGAGTGAGCAAAAAGGCCCGGCCTGGCAAGAGGGCAATTGCCGAGAGAACGTGACCTGGCGATATGTGGCTCCGAGATCCTCGGCCCAGCCGTCGCGACTATTTTGCCCCACAAGTTAAGTTAAGAGCTGTCTCCGCCTCCGCATTCACTCGCCATCTCCCCTAAACATCGCCCTCTTCTCTCACAAACCTCAATTAATCGCCCCTCTCTACCTTCACAATGACCGACCGCCTCAAGTCCATCGTTTCGCACATGACGCCCTCGGCCAGCGGCATCTCGGCCCTGTAAGCTCCACCCGGACAGACATGACACGTGAAGAACGCGCGGCGGATGATAAGGGAAGAATGCAGCGCTGACAGCCATCGACAGTACCACCAAGAACCCCGACGATGTTGTCATCACCCTCGCCTTCCGCACACCCCTCACCAAGGCGCATAAGGGCGGCTTCAAGGACACGACCCTTGACGGCATCCTCGTCAAGACGCTCAAGCAAGTCGTCGCAAAGTCGAACCTCGATCCCGCCGTAGTAGAGGACATCTGCGTCGGCAACGTCTCAGATGCCAAGGCTGCCTACTATGTCCGCGCTGCTATGCTTGCCGCTGGCTTCCCCAACACCACATCCGGCTCGTCGCTGAACCGCTTCTGCTCGTCGGGACTCAAGGCCGTACAAGACATTGCCAACCAGATCGCCGTCGGCAGCATCGAGTGCGGTCTCGCCATGGGCGCTGAGAGCATGACAGCCGGCGGCGACAGGCTCGAGAGGCCGTTCGTCGACGAGGTGCTCGAGAACCAGGAGGCGAAGGACTGCATGCAGCCCATGGGCCAGACGTCGGAAAACGTCGGCAAGGACTTCAACATCTCGCGCGAGCGCCAGGACAAGTACGCTGCCGAGTCATACCGGAGGGCTGAGGTCGCACAGAAGGCGGGCTGGTTCGACGACGAGATTGCGCCCATTACCACCCAGATCAAGGACCCCAAGACAGGCGAGGTCAAGACCGTCACCCTGACCAAGGACGAGGGTATCCGCGCCGGCACCACATTCGAGAGCCTGCAGAAGGTCAAGCCTGCCTTCCTTCCCCACGGCGACCGGTCACACGCCGGAAACTCGTCGCAACTCACAGACGGTGCCGCTGCCATCCTCATGATGAAGCGCTCCATGGCCGAGAAGCTCGGCCAGCCCATCCTCGCCAAGTACGTTGGTGCCACCGTCGCCGGTCTGCCACCCAGGATCATGGGTATCGGCCCATCCGTCGCCATCCCCAAGCTCCTCTCCAAGTTCAACATCACCCTCGAGGACGTTGACCTTATCGAGCTTAACGAGGCTTTCGCTTCTATGGCCGTATACTGTCTCGAGACACTCAAGATCGACCACCAGAAGCTCAACCCAAGGGGAGGTGCTATCGCGCTGGGTCACCCGCTTGGCTGCACCGGTGCGCGTCAAATTGTCACTGGTCTGAGCGAGTGCAGAAGGCAGAAGAAGAAGGTTCTGCTCACCAGTATGTGCATTGGTACTGGTATGGGTATGGCTGGTTTATTCATCAACGAGCAGAACGTGTAAGATATTTAGTATATAGCGTTGTGTATGAAGCCATTTTCAATCGTCTGCATCAATCTTCATTCACCTTCCCCGGCACATGCGTATTCAAATCCTTTCGTGACGTCCTGCCTGCATCACTCAGCCTAAGCCAGGTGCACCTACCCGATCGCTTACTGTTCGATCGTTTTGTTGGCTGGCACGAGACTTCCGAGCAAGAACACGGAACGTAGTTTCCTTCTTGGGAGGGCGATTTCGTGTAGTCAACACCTCACTTTTCCTGTTGAATCATAACCACAGGAACCACGCATCCGCTCCAAAGGCCATCTCAATTTCGGCAAGCGCAGCATCACAGATTATCTTCCGGAATATCAACGCCAAGCCGCAAGTCCCCAGAACCATGGTACGTCAGGAAGCTGAGACTTTAAATCCTGCTTCATCAAGGGGTCCCTCTGTATACCATCATTTCTTAGGCCTACCTGCACCTCACGAAAGCTTCCGACGTATCACCTGCACATTATCGGCGCGCGCACAACACATCCTCTTCTCTAAACACACGCAACAAGATCTTGAGAGACACTATCAAGACTATCAAGACATGTCGGACAACAGCAAAGACACTGTAAAAAGCCCTAGTGCGACGGCGAGCCTTCCGAGACGCGCAATCCCCGAAACAATGTACGACCGCGTCAAGCACCTCCCCGAGTACAAGGCCTGGGTGGCTGGTGGTGGTTTGGCGCGATTCGCCAATGAACAAGATCTGGAAACAGATTTTGTAGATCACATATTCCGCACCAGCCCCCAGGTCCAGATAGCGTACGATAGAATCCTCCGAACAATGCCCAGCGTATTGCAGGAGATGACGCGGGATATGAGGCCAGAGCCGACGACCTACAGCCAGGCAACCGCACTCCAAGCAATAAACGATTACGAGCAAGGCAGCGGTTCGGCTGCAACCTCGGAGGACGATGATGACAGCGGCGAGAAGACGAGCAACCCTGAGCACAGAATCGAGAAGGAACCCGCAAGCAAGCAAGCTAGCGACGTTGTGAGTCGCAAGGCTCGGTAGCCCTAGATATACCTTAATACCAAGACTAATACCGGGTACTTCACAGGCTGACCACGAGGACTGGAGTTGGAGCGCGTTCATGACAGAAAACCGTCCCAATTCCTCACCTTTCAGATGCAGGAGAGCGCGCAACCTTCAATGGAGCAGCCCGACAAAGAGGGGTCCCGCCTCGGCGGAGGGTAGCCTCGCGAAGAGACTGACGCGAGAATGATCGCTACGAGCGACATTGTGAGTCGCAAGACTAGGCAGCCCTAAATACATCTTGATACCGACCTTGGAAGACTCAGAAACGATGTACGGCCGAGTTCAACACCTTCCCGAATACAAGACCTGGGTGGCTAGTGGAAGCCTGGAACAATTCGCAGAAGAACATGTGTCTTCATGACCGTTACAATCCTCATGTTCGGCAGTCGTTCAATGACGTAACGGTTACCACTGCATAAACCACAGCGACATAGCTAGGTATACAGCAACCCTACAATTACCACACTCGAGCCATCCCAAGAATTCCGTCAACAGATCCCAACCATCCAATCCACCGCCAAAATGCCACACCCAAGCCTCGAATACACCACCGTCCAACCCCCCTCATCCACCTACCCCCAAAACGCCACCCGCAACAACACCTCCGGCACCGACGCCTCCGTGCTCGACCGCCTCAAGATCCGCGAAATCTGCGAAAGGCTGGGGCACGTACCGCGACGCCGCCGAGTGGCAAAACTACTCTTCCATGTTCCACCCCGGCGCCTACATAACCACATCATGGACACAAGGCTGCCTCGAAGACTTCATCGCATCTTCAAAAGAAGGGTATGAGAAACAGACGCCACATGGCCCGTTCCCGTACATTCTGCATCGCATCTGTGGCCAGACTGTCGATGTACAAGGCGACAGAGCGATAAGTAAAATGAAAGTCACGATTACGTGTCGCATCATGCTTGACGGCATCGAAATGGACAATGAAGCCGACACCCGCTTCTTCTTTTTCTTGTCCAAGAACGCGCAGGGCAAATGGGGTGTCAATTTCATGACGTTGCTGTTTGATAAGGATAAGATGGTTCTTGTGGTGCCGGGCAAGGCGTTCGATGTACCAGAGGAAGAGGTCAAGCAGTATCCGAGTGGGTATCGGTATCTGGCTTGGGCGGAGAGTAAGGCGGGGAGGCCGCCGAAGATGGATTTGAATGCGCATGGGCCCGAGCGGGATGTGCTGTATGGGAAGTGCAAGGTGTGGCTGGAAGGTGGGGATGTTAGGCCGAATCTTACGGGGGAGGATTTGGGGGAGTGGTAGATTGTGGTGAGGGGATGGTGTGTGAGGGGATGGTCACGAAGTAGTTCATGATCTTGTGGAAAGTCAAATGGATACACTAGAGACATGTAATACATGCCTAGTCATACTTGATGGGCAAAAACAATAGCCATTAACTCCCATGAGAGTCGAACTCATGACCTTCACGGTTCAAGTCGTGATCGCCATCCTCAGTCGTGGAGTTTGACCCCCACGAGCATCCGAGAGAAAGCGGCGCTTGAATAGGAGCGTGATGCGCTACCGTTGCGCCAGAGAGTCTTCTTTTCACTTATGAGATACTCCATATTCTTATGAGCCATGTATCAGGCTCTTTCCGTCCAGATCAAACACGGCCAGTCATCTACAACGCTGTGGCCTCTACGCGGTATCTTCAACCTTCACACCCTTCAGCTTCTTCTCCACCGGCTCCTCCTTCACCACTACCTCCTCTTGGCCAACCGGCTCCTGCGGCGTCTGATCGCGCTTCCTCTTCCTAGGTTTACGCTTAGGCTTGGGCTTCGGTGTCGGTGTATCAGGTGTTTGCAGCCTATCATTTGGAGCAGCTACAGTCCTTGGGTGTGGCACCTCAGGAATGATGTTGTAATGCTGAAACATTGGTGTTCTGGGCATGAGTCGACGTGTTAGTTTGTCGTGGTAAACCGCACCTGCTTCCCCGAAAATGGGGGAGTCGAAGTTATTGGTCTCTATAGCTTCGAAGATCTCATCAATGTCTTCTTGGGGTCGGGGAACTATTTGGACTGGTGGATGGTTGACGGGCGTGGCCGTGGGTGTTGGACATTGAGGGGGAGTGCCTGGCGTTGGATGATGAGCTTGGGGCGACTCCTGCGGACCTTGATCACCTGTTGGTGATGCGGCCTCTGGGGAGGCTTGGCTGGCTGGCATTCGCTCCGTAGGTGCCTGCGGTGGAAACAACTGATCGTACAGGGGCGGCGGGGAAGGCATGCTTAGTGTAATCGTAGGCAGATTTGGCACAACACTTGTCGCACTTACATCCTCCCCACTCTCCAGACGAGCTTGACCGTCTGCAGATGATGTAGGCATCTGTGCGTCTGTCTGAGTATTACAGACCTGAGGCGAAGAGTGAACAGCTTCGGAGACATGTTGCGAAGTCGCTACTGCTTCTTCTGGTGGTTGACTATTCGATTCGCTGGCGGTCTCCATCGAGTATAGATGCCTTTAGCTGTTGGAGTTGTAGAGTTATGAGTTGCGGAAGTGGAGCGCATTGGCTGGTCAAGATTATAGTGAGAATCAAACGCGTTCACTAAGCCGGTAGCTGGGATGTAGACGAGCCTCGAACATTCACCAGGGTCAATGGTGACTCAGCGGCTGATTAAGAAGGTACTATTCACTTCCACTTGAGTTGGAAGCGCTTTGAACGGGTCTTGTTTGTGCGTCTGAACGGTAGTAGGCATATCAAGTGGCCAGAAGAATCTGCCACGGCTGCCCCATCTGGAAAGAACGGTGGATACGAAGAATGCCATCCCGGCCGACGTCGATTTCACGTTATCAAATACAGCTGATCTATGCGCACGTCATAGATTGGAAATATTTGTTCGAAGACGAAGTTGATGCATGCTGACATGAGGTCGATGGGCGGGAAAAATGCTGCATCGCGGTGGTGCGAGCTTTGCGCCATCACGGACCAGCCGAGCCGAAGACTTCCCTACACCACGGGATGCCATGCGACAACTTCAGTACTTTCGCAAGGGACTGTGCTGCTCGAAAATGGAGATGACGGAAGATTGTGTTAAGTTCTGAGATGGATTGTGATGGAACAATGTTGAGGTACGTGAATGGCGATCGATGATGCGGCTAGATTTTGACCGACCAATCAGCAGCGACTTGCTTCAAGTCGAGCACATCGACGACTTTGAGGGTCCTTTCTTCTATCGCGTCTTCAGTGAGCACAGTGCAACGATCTACCAACCGAGATCATCAGTTGGCGCCAGCTTGTTTCAGGCCAGATGCAACGCTTCGTATTATTGTCTCAGCCTGGAATGTATAGAAGAACACCTTCGTCTTCGCGACACACAAGTTAGTCCGTTCATATCGGTCTTCAGTGACTTCGGTAAGATACCTCGTCTTTCGGTATGGCTTTCACACTCACTGGTACCAGCTGCAGCTTTGCGTGAAGCGTATGACATTCATACCCAAGGTCACGATGCTATTCAGATAGTCCAGATCCAGGCTTCAGGCTTGGTGATCGATGTGATGAGCCCAGCTGGTGATCACGGTGCTTTGATACCCACATGGAAAGGAGCAAAAGGTCGGATAGACCGGTGGCTATGCATGGCTGATCTTGGACCAACCCTCGGTGTCGACCCCGTATACATTCGCCCTTCAGAATGGCTGGCGTGCGGTTCGATATCCAAAGCTCGGTTCTCAGCGGCCTGGCCGATCATTGGAGGACGACTGCAGTTCAACGAAGGAAGGAGCGAAGACCTGGTCGACTTGTTTGCGCGTATATGCGGGCATGTGCCAGAACGTTTCCCAGAGCATGATGTGTCCGAGCGATACGAATACGACTGGGAAGGCGAATGCTTTGTTAGAGCTGAACGTTGGGGCGATGCGAGCGCGTCGATCCAAGAAACGAGCGTGGCGGGCGCGGGACTGGGGCTAGGACTTGCTGTCTCACAATTCACGCGACCGACGCCGTTCGGATATGCCGGCTATCTGCGTGGAATGGTTGTCATAGACTGATGTATCATGTATCTTGTAAAAGTATTGTACGATTAGATGAGGTGGCCTTGAAAGGAGATCTGCAGGTGGAAGGCAGCAATGGCACTAGGCTCAGATAGGACAAGCGGGCTACGCCGTACCGTCGTGACATGTAGACCCATGTCAGCAACCCCTCTTCTCTACGACAACATTATCAAAGTACGGTCAATCGTTGCACACCGAAACTTCGCGCCCAAGAGATCTCTTTGACAAAATGGACGCTGTGTAAGTAGTCATAATACCTCTCGAATCTAGCTCGAAACAGCACTAACATCAGCGTAGCACATTGCATAACCAGATTGAATCGCCCCTACTACGCCTGCCCGCAGAACTTCGCAATAGGATCTACGAACACGTCTTCCGCGTGGACTGTATCAGTTTCTATGGAATGCACGCCTGGGATTACAACACGAGCAACCACTCGAGGCCTGATTACAACCCCAATCCCATGCGCGGGACAAAGTCAGCTTCACAATCCCTATCCTCGCTTCTTAGATACCTACTAGTATGCCGCCAATACTATGCGGAGACCAGATTGTTGGTATTCAAGCTGAGTCCTCTCTGTGGACGTCCGGAACATCTACTTGACGCCGTGGAAAAAATGCCCAGGGACGTGCGAGACGCCATTTCAGTCCTTCGCATCTACGAAATCGAAAACTGGACGATCTATTACCGAGACTTTTACCTCCCAACAGATATTCCTAACCTGCGAAAGGTCGAAGTGCATTCTTGGGCTCCTAAGGTCGTGGGAGATCCGCTCTTGTTTGCCCATGAATGGAATAGACGTCATGTTCCAGAGGACAACGAGGTTTCGCGTTTGAGGGTTGAGAAATTTTTCAGAGATCTCAAGTCGAAGGATACTGAGAATGCACTTATGAATGTTCAAGAATATGTCAGCAGTCGGGTTGGGGAAGGAGTTGAGATTACGTCAATTGATGCTCCGACTCCCCGCTACAAACACGTCATGGAGGGAAAGTGGGAGATTATGTAGGATTAGGCGAGGTATGCGGGAATCTTGTAGTCCATCATGTAGTACTCAAGGCTTCTCTGATTTGTTCGGATATCTTTTCGTCTAGGTCGTCGATGTTGCGTAAGTTGTGAGTGTAGTCCACCAGGGACTTCTACTACGATACCGCACTTTGCGCAGGTGTATAGTTTTAGAAAGCGCATTTCTTGTACCATTGCACTTGCTATGATATATGCACCTTCGCCATACGCTTCAAGTTCACAGCTTCCGTAAGATAATCACGCGCCCACCTCCAGCATCTTTCCGGTACTGATGCAAGTCCGTCTCCACAACCTCAACCTTCTCCTCCTTTTCCAGTCTCTGCACTTCCTTCTCAAACCCCTTCTCTACCCAGAAGCTATCTAGCACGGTTGCGACTACAACCCCACCATCCTTGACAACCCTTACGAACTCCTCCAGCGGCTCTGGTCCGAGATGACCATGTGTGAACGTACCGCAGCACGTCAGCGCATCGAACTTTCCGTCCTCAAACTCCAATTTCTTCGTCAAATCCGCAGTCGTAAGGTCATCGTACACGGCGGTGTTCTTAGCAACCGCTAGCATGCCTTCGCTGATGTCGAGACCTAAGATATCCGTAGCGCCAAGTTGGGACAGCTCAATTCCGACAAGGCCGGTACCGCATCCTGCATCCGCAATCTTCAGGCCAGCGAGAGGCTTGTCGGGTGAGATGTGGTTTAGCTTCAGGCCGCGGGCTACTGCTTGTGCGACGAGGCGTGGCGCGGTGAAGTCGTGCAGAGTCATGTCGGAGTCATATGTCTTTGCCCATTCGTCGTATAATTCGCGTGATTCTTCGGTGGTTTTGGCGGCGAAGACGCGGTCTAGCAGCGACTTCTCGTCTGACGTTGCCATGTTGAGGGTGTGATGTGTGTCGCGCTTCTAAGGCTCTGTGAACGGCAATGCTGTGATGCCTGTATGCAAAGAAGAAATGCCTGAGGATAATTGAGGTCGTTGTTTGTGATGAAGCGGTACCTGCCAAGGGAGTTAGAGGTCTACGGACAGTTGTCACGCGTGACGTCATCAATCGCGATAAGTGATTTCGCGACACCACCTGGACACTTGGGCAGTGCACAGATATCATAAAACAACAAAATGACTTTCGGAAGAGTCGACGCAGATTCTTGACCTCAAATTGATGGTGCTATGTTCGCAAGACTTTATACAGCAGCAGCGCAAAGCTACGAGACTGCTATGCGCTAGGCCACGCAGAACCCAAGTGACCTCAGGAGCTACTAGCGAC